ACATTTAAAGGTAAATTTATGTTTAGTATTTAAATTATTAGTTTTGATCCGTTTTAATACCTATTTTTTTTAAATCATACTTATCGTTTAATTTTCATTTTATTTTAGTACCCGTCATTAAAACTAAACGCGTTTAGTACCTAAACTATCGGTTTTGATCTGTTTTAATACCTAAACTTGCAATTTTTTTCAAAACCTAATGTTAAATTTTGAACAGGGGCATTAAAATGAAACAAAAATTGAAATTTTTAACAGTGGGTACTAAAATAAAATAAAAACTAAACTTTAGGTATGATGTTGAAAAAATTAAAAGTTTAGATACTAAAACAAACCAAAATTGATAATTTAAATACAAAATGCATAATTTACCCTACATTTAATTATATATAGCTTCATCGTTACTATTTTAATATTCAAAATCACAATTAATTATGTGGGTTAAGTTTGGAATGGGATTTATTTGCATTCGTGTAATGTTAAGTTATTTTTTAAAAATTTTCAATATAATAAATGATGGATCCATGTCTTAGTAGTTCTTCGGATATTTATTTATTTTATTAATTGTGTTTATTCTGAAATTTTGTTTGTATTTATTTCGCGCAAAAATTTATGTTATTAATATATATGTAGTCACCCTCATAATTATTTCTGGATCTGTCGCTAAATATAATTATAGTTATTATAAATACAAAAATTTAAATTGATTTAATATTTTTATCCTATTGATTTTGAATATTATTTTTATACATTTAACCGTTGTTTTTTTTAAAAAGAAAGGCTAAATATTTTAGGGTAAAATACACAATATTATATAGTTATGAGTCCCTGACTATTAAAAGTTACAAAATGATTCTTTAACTATAGGACATTATTTGTTAAGTCTCAAAACTATTATAGTTACAAAATGATCACCTGACTATTTATATGTTCCAAACTCGTCCTTTTTTCTTTAAAGAGATGACGGTCGTCTGAGCTAGATGTTAACTTGTTGACTGAGATTGATAATATTCTCAAAACCGTTTGAGCTATATTTTAGGATTGACTTTCAGTTTACATTATGTAGTTGAGCTAGTTCTTGGTGCTAGTAGACATCATTAATATAGTTTCATCACATCTCAATGAGTATGTTAACATTTAGCTCGGACAATCATCAATTTTATCAACGAAAAATGACGATTTAGAACATATAAATAATCGGGTAACCACTTTACAACTTTTAATAGTCGAGAGACTCAACAAATCAACACTCTATAATCACACTTAGTAAAGTAGTGTCTTATAGTTGAGGGACCATTTGTGTACTTCAACCATATTTTTTAGGAAGTGCAAGTATGGGTTCCCACTATTCTATGGTTGGGTTAATTTTGGACTGACAATCATGCTGATAAGATGAAAGATAAATAAAAACATAGTAATACTTATCTTAAATACATAATTATTAAAGCTAATTTGGAGAAAAAATTTCTCAAGCTAATCATTAAAGGAAGACAAAGGTGAAGATTCTTTAATTTTTGTAATTATTTCATCCATCATTATTGGGTTTAACTGTGAGGATGATGTCAGTAAATAATTACAAAAAAGAATGAAATAATGAAAATTCACATCATCTTGCTATCATGCTGAATTCAGGATTGATTTTTGGAAGAAAAAAAAATCATTTCTAGGAGGGTAAGTTATGAATTCCAAACATAATACCCAAAAGGGATAAATTCATATTTTATCCCTGAACTATTTTAGATTTACAAAAAGACCCATGATTAGTGACCGAAATAGAAGAGATTAGATAGTTGAATGATGAATGACAATATTTACCCAATTTATAATAGTATTAAATGGAGGGTTGAGTTGCTTGACGTGCCACATCATCAAAATTTAACGGCTTAGTTGGTCAAATGATCACATTGAGTATTTTTTCTGATTTGAAGGGTCACATTGAGTACCAAAAAAAAAAAGGGTGAAGGGCCACATTGGTTTTTTTTTTAAGTACGAGGGCCTCATGTACCATTTTGCCTAAATTTGTTAAAGAATATAATCTATAAATAACATTCAAACTTTAGATATGTAATAATATTTTTATTCCCTTGAAATGAACGGCTAAACTTAGGCCCGTGTTTAAAATATAGATTATAAAAAAATTAAGTTGTACGAACTAAATTACTTCAGTGATAAAAGAAATTGTTATTATTTTTGGAGATCATGAGTTCGAGCATCATCGATTCAAGATATTTAAAAATTTATTGTCAAATTATCGAGAGTGTCTAGAACATATAGTCGACCTTATAATCACCCTAGATTATGGGTGTAAACGAGCCGAGTCGAGCTCGAGTATTGCTGAGCTCGACTCGAAAACTCTGAAATGGAGCTCGACTCGACTCGAAAACTCGCGAACTTAAAATTTTCAAACTTGGCTCAACTCGAAATCATAAACTCGAAAAAGCTCGAAATGAAAAAAAATCTTAAACTTAACTCGATTGAAGCCTCAAACTCGAACCTGAGCATTAAATACATGAAAATCTTACTGTATTTTAAAAAAATCAATACATAAATATTAATATTATTAATAATTTATTTTTTAAAAAATAAAATCTTAATATATTATATTTTCGAGCTGCTCACGAGCTTTTCGAGTCGAATATCAAGTAGCTCGTTTCGGCTCGTTAAGAACTCGAGTCGAGCTCGAGCTCGAGTCGAGTCCATTCGATCCGAGTATTTATCGAGCCTTAATCGATTCGATCTCGAGTAGCTCGCGATCTGTCTCGTCTTATTTACATCCCTACCCTATATTAAAAAAAACCGAGTTATTAAAAATAGTATAAATTGTGTACTAAAACACATAAATGTAACACATATAATATATTTCTAAATTACTTTTTCAAAGATATAGCCTACTTGTTTAGTTAAAATTAACTTGAATTAACCAATATTTGTAGAAGTTTCATGAATATGACACTAACATTAATATTATGAATGAAAAAAATAATTTATGATATTTATTTTAGGTTTAAACTGGAAAGGAGTACTTAAATTATATATATTTTTTTCTTTAAGTACCTAAATTTTTTTAGTCAAAATAAGTCCTTAAACTATTATATGTAACCACATGATGTACCTCAACTGTTTTTGGTCAAAACAAGTCCCTAAACAATACCTCTCTTTTGCTTTAAGCCCTTAAAATATTTTTTTGATCAAAACAAGTACATAGTTTTGTGTGACGTGTCGTCGAAAAATAATTTCTAACTGAAAAATTATTAAGACCTAAAATAATTAAACATAATAATTTAAGTCCTAGTTTGATAAAAAGTAAAGCAAAAAATAACTTAATTTAGATAATTATTTTTACTTTAAGCTTTTATTTTATAATATTTAAATTTGAATTTGAAAAATCTAATATTGAATAATTACATAGAAAACATGACACTGACATTGAGTGTAAAGGGTTCAGAAAATTTGTTTAATTATGATCATCTTTATTGCCATGAAAAAAGTTATGCTTTTCATGCCCTTTCGCTATGATCAAACGTGCATTTCGTATTTATCTATTCTCATAAATTCATTATTATTTTCTATTAATAAATTTTTGATTGGTTTAATGTTATTTAGAGATTCATTCAACGTAATATACGAATAAAAGACGGGTTTAAAACATAATAAATAATTGGATGACGATTTTATAACTTTTAATAGCGAAGTAATATTTTATAATTAGAGGGTCATCTTAGAATTTTTAATAGTTGACGAACTTATTAAAATAATATCATATAACCAAAGGATCATTTATGTAATTTACTCAATATTAATGACACAATAAATATATTACTAATAATAAAATATATGATTGTTAGTTGCCTAGTTCCTCGTTCTGAATATTAAAACCTCCAGGATCAGCTTTCTCGCCCATATAGGGTTGTGGGAAAAATGATTTTCTTATATAAGACATCCATCATATTATTTTTTGAACTAGGGTTTCTTATTGATCTGAAGACGTTGTGCACTCTTGAGGTCTTCTCCATTTACCTGAAGACCCCATGCAGTCGTGGTGTCTTATTCATTTGCCTGAAGACGCCATGCAGTCATGAAATCTTCATATTTAGCTTAAAGACTCATGGATCATCTGACGTTTTTAGGTTAATACTGTACAATTCACCCTAGATGTGAAAATAATCCTCATATGATTCATTTACTCAACCATTTTGTCCATCAGGACCACTCACCATTCATCCCTAACTACTAATCCCCAAAATCAAAGTTCCCATTTATTATAGTATATTTTCAACTCTCCCATCATTTGCCTCAAGACGCCATACAGTCGTGAAGTCTTCAAATTTAACTTGAAAACTCGCGAAGCACCTGACATTTTATGTTGATACTGTATAATTCACCTTAGATATAAAAATAATCCCCGGATAGATTCTATTGAGAACTTTTCCCCCACGTCATTTAATTAACCATTTTGTCCATAAGGACCGCTCACCATTCATCCAAATTCCAAAGAAAACCTAACTACTAATCCCCAAAATCAAAATTCCCATTTATTATAGTATATTTTCAACTCTCTTATCCTTCATTAATTAAAATCAAATGGGTTGACTATTATTTTATTTTATATTTACCAATAACTAATTAATTAATTAAATTAAATCTTTTTTTAAAAAAAAATTATGAAATAACCTCTTTAATTCAACCTATCTCATTCTAAATATTATAATTTTAATCACGAACATTATTAAAAATAATTACTTTACCACATTATACTAATTAATAATTATTTTAAAAAGATTAAAAAATAAAATTATACAGAAAGTGAAATTCAATTTATTAATACGTGAAAATGTTATTTTTATTAATTAAAATAATATAATTAGACAAAGAACGAACAAACAAAAAAAACATCGAACGACCTTAGTTTACATGATTCATTTTCTTGAGGTCCTTTCCTTATTAACTTTTCTCTTCCTATGATGTTATGTTATTTACATTCTATTGGCCTCTTTTTTGATTTTTGAGATCTTAATTATAATTGGATCTTCATCATCCACCGTTGATCTTTCTCACATGACGGAACAAGCGTTCGGATTTTCGTCGCTGAACATCTGAGGTGCATGCAGGGAATGACGTGGGTCAATCGCATACCCTTGATCTAGATACCCTGGATGAGGAAGCATATACCCTGGATTCACGTATCTGTAATCATAATTCTGATTCTGATAATACCCTCGAGCATGACTCGGATCTCCGTACACGTGTCCATCGGACCAGTACATTACCTGTGCTGGATACCCGTATCCATGATACTCCATTTTGCTCACCTCCATCTTCGCTTCACGTCCGTCGTCTTCCTTCTTCTCGCCTCCTTCCTTTTTTTCACCGCCGCCTTCCTTCTTCTCGCCTCCTTCCTTTTTATCACCTCCGGCTTCCTTCTTCTCGCCGCCGCCTTCCTTCTTCTCGCCTCCTTCCTTTTTATCACCTCCGGCTTCCTTCTTCTCGCCGCCGCCTTCCTTTTTCTCGCCGCCTCCTTCCTTTTTCTCGCCGCCTCCTTCCTTTTTCTCACCGCCGCCTTCCTTCTTCTCGCCGCCGCCTTCCTTTTTTTCACCGCCTCCTTCCTTCTTCTCGCCGCCTGCAGCAACTTCTTTCACCTCCTCTTTTTTGTCACCGCCGGCGTCTTTCTTCTCACCGGCGTCGTCTTTCTTAGGAGGGACCACGTCTACATTTCGTCTCAACTTCTGCTGAAGGTAAGGAACGAGATCTTTCACGTCCATTGTGCCTTTCACGGTTGCCAAATCTTTAGCTCCATCCACGTTGACCGACTGAACTCCTGTTTTAATTATTAAAAAAAATCAGGATTACAAAATGTTTAGTTAAACAAGTTATGAATTTAACATCTAATATTTATTTAATCGAACTAATCACGATTAATTAACTTACCATCAACCTTCAAAATGATTTTGCGGATCTTACGAATACATCCATCGCAATGTGTTCTCATCTTCAAGACCACCGTACTCTGTGACCAAACAAAAATTAATCACGATTAATTATACAAATTTAAACAAATTTCAGGTTTAACAAATCATCTTCCCCATATACTATGCATGCCTAACATGCGCAAGTTGGATTTTTTGTGTGTGGTAAAATTACCTCTTTAGGTGGCTTTTTTTCTTCTTTTTTCTGTTCAGGTTTCTTCTCAGCTTCGGGCTTTTTGTCACCGCCGGCAGGGGCGGCGTCCTTTTTAGGTTGTGGAGAAATAAGGTCGACTTTCTTCTTCGTTTTCTCAGCCAATCTCTCTCTGATTTGGGCGGGATCAATTTTGCCAATCACCGTCAGTTTGTTGGCAGAATCCGTCTGTACATCTTCCACGCCTTCACCACCACCACCACCAACGACGACGACGATCAGTGTTAGGTAATTTTCAGTTAGATTTCCATTTACGTCGACATTTGAAATTACTTTGTTTTCTTTCTAATTAAGGTTGAAAAGATAGCACCGAAGTCCGATTCGCATCCAATTTCCGGATCAAAATTAGACGAACAATCCAAAAGGAGCATCCACAGGGAATTTCCTTTTAAATCTCGACAAATTTCAAAACATAATTATGAATATTTAATCATTTGAACTCCAATCAACTACCTTCATAATGCTTAATCGAGCGTTTGATCTTCTTGGCACAGCCTTGACAATGCATATCAATCTTGTAAACGGCGGTGACCACGCCGTCATCTTTCTTAGCGCCGGCGTCGGCGGCGGGCTTCTTCTCGGCTTCAGGTTTAGCTCCTTCCTTTTGCTTTTTAAAACAAATAACAAAACAGTATAAGCACAAACAAAAATAAAATCTACCAGAGATTCAAAGGCCAAAAAACAGAGAGAATGTCCCAAGAAAGAAGATACTAACTAACCTCACCCATTGGTTGACTGAAATTTTATTACTTTTTGCTAATTGGCTGCTTTTAGTTAGTAAAGAGTTGTTTGGAGGGAGGAATTAGAGGCGAAGAAGCGAATATATAGAGGAGAGAGGCGGTTTATGTATGTACGTATGCATGTATGTATGTATGATGGTGATGATGATGATGCATGCTATGTCGGGAGGAAATGTGTATGATGATGGTGACTGATGTTGGGTTTGTCATAAAAGTGGGTTTTGCCGTCGTATTAGACTGCAGGTGGTGAGAAACGACGGCTTCACGACCAATCGTAATCCACTTTTGACTACATCATGACCTTTTTATCTGAATGACTTAAATACCCTCGTTGATATCATATTTAATTTTTGGGTAAACTACTTCATATATCATTGAACTCTACTCGTTGACTTGTTTATACTACTTAACTTTCAATTGTGTCAAGTATAACATTAAATTTTAGTTTTACACTCAATTATGTCATTACGTTGTTAAGTCAGTAATGAGACGATGACATGACTTACGATTGTTGATGTGGCATACTACACCAAAACAATGCTATTTTGACGACTATTATTGATGTCCAAAACGATGCTAGTTGTGTATTGATTTTACAGCAAGGTTGGTATCGAAACATTCTCATTTCTCTTTTCTTTCTCCTCATAAAATTGATTTTGCACGAAGCTCACTTAAAATCAACGGAAGTCTATTTAAAAGTTGAACATATTAATACTCAGATTTCTTTTAATGATCGTCTGATGAGGCTAGTTTTGAGATAAATTGTTCGCCTTCTCGAAATAATATTTCTCACCTTTCGAATTTTCAAACAAACACTTGAAATCCAGTAAATCTAAGAAAGTTCCAAAATATTTAAAAACAATAGATTTTTTGTTTAATTTCGTTGATTTTGAACATGTTTCGTGGAAAACTAATTTTATGATAAGAATAAAGAGTGGAATGCGAACGATTTGGTGCCCATTTTATAACGAAAAACGATTGATAATTGGCTATCGACAACGGTCGAAAAGTGTAGTGCCAAAAAAATAAATTGTTTGAAAGTTCAGTAACAAAGTCGATACATCCCTAAAGATCAATGTTTAAGACAATGTCATTTCAGGCATTAAAACAACCACACCAAAACGACGTCATTTTGTGTGATATGCCATGTAAGCAACCATTAGCCATTTCATTGTCACATTAGCGACTTAAGGGCAAAATGGTATAATTGAATATAAAACTAAAATTCAGTGCTATAAATGATAAAATTGAAAGTTAAATGCTATAAACGAATCAACGAGAAAAGTTTAATAGTACTAAGTGTAGTTTACCCTTATTTCTTTAGGTTTGGATTGTTTTGGGTTTCACTGGACATTTCTCGTATTTGACCGGGACTAAAATGAACCCACAATAAATACGATCCTGGAGCAGTTTGTTTAGAAAGAAGAAGAAAATTTGTCACCAAGCAACTAGTTGATGTAGCTGAAAGAGACATTATTATTTTTTAAATAAATTTAAATGTTTAAATTTTGATAATTATTAGCAGGTCCGGTCCTAACATTTTAAGGGTCCTAGGTTAGGAGGTGATGACAAGAAGACAAATTGGGGCTCACACTTAATTTCTCTTTCAATCATTAAAATGGAACCCATTAGATCATCATGTTTTCGAGTTTTTTTAATAAAAAATTATGTTTAAAAATATTTTTTTTAATTATTGGAATCTACTAAATTACTATATTTTCGAGTGTTTGAAATAAAAAAAATAATTTTTTTTAATTATTAAACTTAAAAATATTTTTAAAAATGGGTCCCTCCAAACTTGGGGCCCTAGGCGGTTACACCCCTGGCCTATGCTTTGGGGCGGCCCTGATTATTAGTAAAATAAGTTGGATTAAGATAATTATTAAAATAGGTAAGTCAATCACCGAAAAATACAGAAGATTATAATATAAGAAATGAGTTAAAAATTCAACCAAATAATTTAAACAAATGATACAAACAAATAATATTATCAGTGTCAAAGGATAAACACTATCAACGTTAATATAAAAATCATTAATTATTTTTATAAAAGAAAGTAATTAAACATAAAAAATAACACAAATAAAGAAGAGAAGAGAGTGAAAAGAAAAAAGAAAGTCAACGACCGACGATCAGTTTAAGTTTATTATATCGATAACGGTAAAAGAATAAAAAAAAAGTTAAAAGAAAGAAGATAAATATAAAAGAAAGAAGATAATAATAGCAGTACTTTATTTATTCGTTTATCATCATAAAGTCTTTGAGGTTGTTATTTATAAGCCATGTCCTCGTTTGTCAAGGTTAGAAATCTCTTTCATGCTCTAGTTTATCTACTTTCTTGAAGAAAAATCATAATTAAGGGACTAATGTTTAGATTTTTTTAACGAATAAGGGATCGTTTGGGAATATTTATAAAAGTGTTTTTGGTTCAAAATTATGTTTGAAATACAAAAGCATTCTTAAACAACTCATTTTGCCAAAAAAAATTTATTGTTTGAAACGCGATAATTAACTCAAACCCAGAAACTGAAAAAACAATGCTTTTGCATTAGAAAAGTTAGTTGAAAAAACTCGTTTAGAAAAACATTCCCAAACGAAGCATCACTCAAAACTCGGCTTCCATTATTCATTAGGGGTGAGTGTTCGATCGAGTCGATTCGAGTCAAAAAATTTCGAGTTGTTCAAGTTGACCAGTCCTATTTTACAACTCATATTTGACTTGAAATTTGTTCGAGTCGAGTTGATTTTTTGAGTCTATGTTTAAATTTAATTGTGAATATTTATAATATTATAATATTATTTGGTTCCAATTTAAGTGACTTTCTATAACCATATATATGATACAAATGTGTTTCTTCATTTTGTTTTCATATGTGATATACATATATCATACAAAGCCCAATGACTCGACTCAAACTTGAAAATAATTGTAACACCCTAAACCCAATTGGGCCTAAAATGCCACACTGGGCTGCCGAGACAATCTCTGGTCCTAGAAACTTGTTCATTTTATTTTCAAATGTACGAAATGATATCATAATAAAACATAAATAATTGTTATAAAAACATTTTACAAAATCAGAGCCCCGTGACGCATGATTTAAATCAAAATAATATATCTTGAAGTTTAGAACTCAAATACATAAAATACAATACAGTACTCTGTCGGAGATATTGGAAGTCCTACGGCGACAGTGCTCCACGAACTGCTCAAGCTACGGACCTGCCAATAGAAAACATCCAAAGGTTGAGCTTACAAAGCTCAACAATATAATCACTAATCTAGAGAAGCATAAGAATTCCATAAACTAAAGCATGCTAGAAACATAGTATTAAGCAGTAGGTACAAGCATGATTCCAATCAGTTCTACCACGTAAGGTCCTCCAGTTCTATCTCTCGAATCTACGTCTCATGCTTCCCTTAGTCTTCCTAAGAGCCCGACCATGAGTATACAAGTACTAAGTCTCTAACCTCATTATCATCCTATAATACATCACCATGCCAAACACAATAACGATACCCGGTATCACAGAGACACTGATACTATCACTCAACAATAAGTAAGCATCGTGGTGTGACTCGGGGTCATATAACATCACGAAACTTACTCCTTTGTTTGCTTAATAGGGGTACCTTGGGTAAACTTATGTCACACAACATCAATATTTCCCAAGTATCTTAAGCGAGGTCCGTGTCACATAGCATCGGCACCTCCTAATACTTTAAGCTAGGTACGAGTCACATAGCATCGACACCTTGCCTGGTTAGTCTACTCCTCTTGAGTACTCAGAACGTGTCTGGGTCATATAACATCAGTTCTACATTCAACTAGCGACTAAAGTGTATCTTGCACTGACTTGGATATATTCAGATATTCTATGCACATAAGATGACCGTTCTACTGCTAAAGTAACTCAGGTGTCTTGATCGTTTCCCGAGCGATACAAAACGGCATAAGTTTTATGGAATCTTACCTTATAAGGCTTTTATGGCTATCACACAATTAATGTTATTATCTCATTATTATTATAAGGCTCTCATCTAGAGCTACGCTTTAACACACGTTAATTAATGTCACACTGTAGCAGGTGAAGTAGCTCGATCACTCGCTACTGAACTTATTGAAGTCAGGTGAGGTCATATCCTCTTCACCCGAGACTATCCCGTTCATCCTCTCGCCTAGGACTCATTTCTACCTCCAGAGAGGTCTCTAAGCGTTTCACAATTTCTCGGTGATTATGGGGCTTTCAGTACACTAACTGATTCATGGGTTAGTCTGATACCTAACTCAGGCTCGTTATTGGATAACAACACTCCTAATGCTCTTATCGTACTTCTCCCAATACCCCTTAAAGTAGTGGAACAACTTATCCATTTTCGGTTCACTGACATTCTCGAAACACCATGCTCTTCGTCAATATTGAATCTGACATGTTTATCGTACCACTCATCGGGTATCTCATGTACTGATCCTCAATCCCAACTATTTGTATACATCCTCGTTTGAAGATATTTTAGTGTATTATGCTTAATATGGTTACACCCGATGTAACTTACTCCTAAAAGTGTTTTTAGGTATGTTAGGTCATTTATGTCCCTCACGAACTAACTCATACTATTACGGATAGTCCTTAGATCTTACGAACCTTAAACGTGTCAAAAGAACATTCAACAACACTTAGGACCTTTAATGAATGCAAATCCATCCTTTTCCATCGAGCAAAACAGAGAAGGGATCGATCTTTTTCTCCAAGGGATCGATCCTTTCTCCCGAGGGATCGATCCTTTTAAAAAGTGATCAATCCTTTACTGAACAAAAACTTTGGGATCGATCCCTTTTGTCAAGGGATCGATCATTTTTCTGGGGATGACTTGTTTAAGCTCGGGAATCACTAAAAAATCACCCCAAATGACATGAGTTTGTTTCTAAACTTATTCAAAAGCTTTAGTAAGTTATTTAGGGCATTATGCATCATTAAAATATGCTATTAGCGCCTAAAACGTGATTTGGTTAAGAAATCAAAGAGGAACCTTAAAATGCTCAATTATCCAAATCTTAGCAAACA